GCTGCTTATCTGCCACTACTGTATGGCTGTCTCAGGTACTTTAACATCTAAAGTATTTTAACACTCAAAAATAATTTCGGGACTCAAAACATACATTTTGTAGGAACGTGTTTGGGGGAGGACAGGGTAAAGGACTAGAGATTGGAAATGCAGGATGTCATTTGGCAACAAGACTATGGCAGAAGAAGTTGAACCAACTGGGCCAGGGAAGCTCTAGCAGGAAATAAACTCAAGGGCACGCACGTTCAATATGGAACGACGATGAGTCTTGCTACCCTCTGCAAATATAAACTAGATCTAATAGCTAGAAGCTGAAAGGACAAAAATACATACTTTGTATTCCCATTTCTAGTTTGGTAGAAAGCTAATCCATAGAAAGCATCTATGGATTAGCTTGTCTCGAACAGCTTCTGATCTCAAAATCCAATTCCTTCCACGTTGGCCCCCACGATGTACTTTGTGCCTACAGGTTTCAAGGACATAGCAAGTACTGGAGATCCCCAAGTCTGGCCTGGAGGAGAGGCAATGTGTGATGTGGGCCTCCTCCTAGTCCTGAAGGTGCTGTGCTGGCCTGCCAGAGCCAGCAGGAATGCAAGCTCAGCCCTGCGCCCCCCTCACCAGCCAGCCCCAGCCACAGCTCGGAGGGGGCTTTCAGAGTGCGCAGTGTGGGTAAGGCCAGAGGGGAGAAAGCTGCAGGAAATGAGGCTGTGTTTGTTTTGCTGCATACAAAGCCGCATATTAGGGAGAGCAGTTAAGCATTCAGAATGATTAGCAAGGCTGGGTAGTAAATTCCTTTCATCATTCTGGCTGTCATCCTAAAATATGTGCTCTAGATTTACCACAGATTTGCTTGGTTTGGGCCAGGGAATTTCATTAAGTAATTCCTGCATCATGTGATACACAAGGTTGCACTAAATGCTCCAGCGACCATTTCCATTCTTCTGTTTCAATGATCCCCGTCTGAAAAACAATGATAGCAGAATGAGGGAGAAAAATAAAGAGTCGGTGTTGAGGAAGTACAAAGAGCTCCATATATTTAACTGCTGGGGCATTTTTTTTTTTTAATTGAATAACAGTTCCCAGGATCCATTGATCTTTACATTAGTTAGAGCGTCCTACAAGGACAGAAACCATGATGGGGAGAGAGTGAGTAATGAGCTCGCAGCCGAGTGAATCATTTCCCCTACAGCTTTGTGTTTGTAGAGAGACAGATGGTGGGAGCTGTGAAGAGGGAGAGGGAGGGGACAGGCAGGTTTTTGCAAACGACACAAGTAGGGAGAGGACGGTGAAAAAGAAATAATCACCAGGTAAAGGAGGAGAGGCTGGAAACATGCAGGCTGCTTCACAACTAACATGCTCATGTTAAAAGAGATTAGGGTTACAGGGAAGTTTAGAAAGGAAATTACAGAAAACAAGAGCCTTGAGGCCAAGAGCGAAAAATATAACAGGAACAGCCCAAGAAATGCATCTGTAGATCTCTTAAGTCAGTTATTAAGCTCATGTGCAAATAGTGGGGCAGTAGCTTTCAGAATGCGAGCATGCCTCCCATGGGTGGGCACTGCTGCCAGCCCGAGCTGCTGAGCTGTGGGCATGAAGGCATCGCCTGGAGCACTGCAGAGGTACTGGGGGCTGTTCCACCGGTGCATGCACACCTTCGGGGTGTGGGAAGGAAATGCACTGCCCAAACTGAGAGCAAACACTGGGATGAAGGCAGCATGAAGGGAGAGACAGAACTCACTGAGAAACAGCCTGTCTTGCAGGCTTGCCAGAACTGCGATGACATGAATGCGTGTGAAGATTTTTTATGCCAGCCACCTGTGTGATAGAAATATGGTGGTAATGTTTTCATCCCACAGATAAGCTACGTTGGCCTCTCCAGCGAGGGAACCGTATGGTGAGTCTGGTACAAAGGTAATCCTATAAAACCCTGTGTGCAAGACACAAAATGCTGCCTCCAGAGCTGATTTTCTCCTGGAGAGCCCTTCAGCTGCCATCACTTGGTACCACTTAACAGAGCCATGAGGCAGACATCCTCAGGACTGGTGTCAGGACAGACACAAGGCGGCCTGTGAAGTGGACTCACTGCAGGGACTGGTTGGGATCCCTCCCCAGCCTGCAGCCCAACTCAGGGCCTGGCTGGCTGCAAGGCAAGGCTGAGTGAAATGCCTGGGCCTGGCAGAGAACAGGGAGCTGCACGGCCTTTCATGAAGGCCAGCTGTGGTAAGGAAGGAGAGCAGGCCTCAGAGAGTGCTCAGCACGCAGAACAGGTGCGCGCTATCTCACAAAGCAAACATCTCCCTCGTTACTCTTTGGCTTTAATTTAACAGCTTCTCCCCTGCTGTCGCTTCTGTTTAATCTGTGCCAGTGGCAGATGACAGAGGTCCCCGCAGGCTGAGCTGAACACACTGGTGTGCGGTGACACCAGGGGCTCCCAGCAGCAGCCTCGCACCTGCTCTGAGCCGTGGTGGCAGAAGGCAGCCATTTTGTGACACCTGCTCATGGCGGGGAGGCCTCGGGACCTTCTCCAGGCTAACAGGAGGGTCCAGGGAACCTCTGGCAAAACACGGGTGCTCGCTGTGAACCCCAGCAGGCTGGCTGCTGGGAAAGCGGTGGCTCGAGTCCTAGCAGGGGCAAAAGACTTCCAGCACCCCATCCGCAGGTCAGGCTGATAAAGTTCTCTCTGCTGTGTAACGCCAGCCTCCTGAGGTGGAAAAAGTGGTGTGGGACACCAGGGACATAGAAGTGTGGGGGGCTGAAGGAAAAGGTATCTTAATGCTAGGACAAAAAAAATAATGATTAGAGCAGTTGATAATTAAAATTGATCTTTAAAAAATCATGACCACCACCACCTGCAGTGAGCTCGTTCTGACTGTATTTCATCCTTTGGTTTTCCACTTCTTCTAAAGGACTGTATTCTGGAAATACTATCTTTGAGGCTTTCTTCAAAGCTATCTTCTTCTGCTTGGCCTGGCAGCTCTTACAACATGTCCATTCTATTTTTCGTCAGCTACCTCCAGTTAAAACCCACTAAAGGTGATGTTTTGTGACTGGCATGTTTGGCAGCGCAATGCCCTGGTGTGCTGGCCTCAGGATTTTCAGCAAGCAGCGGGTGCCGCAGTGTGCTGTTAAAAAGCCTGCAGTCTTCAAAGGAAGCAATTTAGTCAGAAAAACTTCTAAAAAGATAACACTGGTGGGGATTGAGCTGAACAGTGCAGGAGTAGCTAATGCATTAAAGATTCTTTCATCCCTATGCTGACAGAGAGAACTCAGCCTGGCTTGGTACTGACCAAAACCACCTGGGTTTGTATTTTGTAGCATCACTTAAATGCTCAACTGTGTGATCTGTGTGCACCTCATTGACATGAGGGAATGTATACATGTATACAGCTACATGCAAATAACACCCATTGCAGTCTTCCTCCCAAATTTTTCCTATGAACTGGACATACAGAAACACTGAGATCCAGCCTCAGTATCAATACAGAAGCCAATTTTTCTTTGATGCCTAATTAACAGCACTCTGAGGACAACGAACCGTTTCTCTTTTAAGAAGATTAAAGATATCCCTGCCAATAATGATTCCAGATGCTTAAAAGTGTCTTTCCCTATGTACAGGGCAATGGATAAGGCACTAAGAAATCATTTGGAAAAAGAAGATTTATCTCCACTTTACCACTGAATTGCTGCAGTCAGCAGAATGTTATCAACTCACTCTGCTCCGGGTTCCTTACATAAGAAGTGGAGATGAAGGCAAACTGGCCACTTAAGTAAAGTTATTATTTGAAACTTACTGAATAAAATACCATGTGCATACAAATAATTTTTATGCGTCCATTTTCCTTCCAGTCTTATAACAGAGATGATTTTCCTCAAGCAGGGACTGTAAAGAAGCTGAAACAGCAGAAACCCAGTAGTAAGAATGTCCCAAAAGAGAGATGAGATGAAGACTTTAAATAGGAATAATAGAAACTGGGAAGACTGACTGGAAGTATGATAAAGAAGAAAGCAATTATAAAGTAGTCACATTGAAGGAAATGGCAAAACCAACCAGCTAGCACAGATTTGTCTTCTTTTTGCTACATTATATTTTATTTTAAATGAGGTAAAATAATTTAGCATTTTTAAAACAAAGAGGAAAAAGACAGCCAAATGGTATTTTCCTTCAGGCTTGTGTGGAAACCAAACTACTGAAGCAGCAGTGTCCCTGGGATATAGCCGTGGCAGTGCCAGCTTGGTGCACTGCTACCTCAGCAGTCATGACACTGATGGTTGTGTCAAGACAAGGCAGCCAGGTTTAAAGTACCTGGAGAACACAGACAAGGGGTCATCAGCTAACTTGTCCAGCAGCACACTGAGTGAAAGCTGTCCATCTCAAGCCTTTATGTCTGTTGGTGGATGCTGGCCAGACTCCTTGCTGACTCCAAGCTGGGCCTAGGAGTAATGTACAGGTTGCATTTTAGAGCTCTGTGTTGGTTGGATCATGGACAAATAGGTTTCACCATTTTCTCAAAGCAATGCCTGACAACAGCATGGATTCTGTGACCTGCATCGCTGGAGCTACCTGAGGTAAAAAAGGATAATTTGTATCAAACCAGCTTGCTGTCTTGTTTCTCTTGCCTGTGTTTCTCACTCCTGCACGCTCCCCTGTTTTTAATGTCTTATTGAGTAGCTTGTCTCAAAACCATCTGACGCTTCTTGTTCCAGTGGCAATTTCCAGTATGAGAAGGCTCAGCCTGTGCAACCCCACCTAAAAGCAACATTCAGACCCAATACTGCTCTCACATAAGCTTGAGGGGTGAAAGAAAAGGTGTATACCTCACATACGGAGTGCTGCCTGAGAAAATTATCAGGGCATTCTTATATGAAGGCTGGTCCAGACTGTAACAGAAACGCTAAGCCATGGCCTGGAACAGTGATTGAGCACCTGGTGGAAGGCAGGGCCAACCCAGGGGGGCTCAGGTGCATGCAGTGCACCTGAGTGACTGGAAAGGATGAAGTCAGGATCCACCCCTCCCTAGACCTCATTTAAGGGTTGGCAGTGGATGCAAAGGTATCTTTCTGGAGATCCCTGCCTGGTGGAGGCCTTCTGAAGGTGAGCAGTTTTCTTTCATTTCTGTGTCTATGCTGCTGCAGCCTTGGATTGTGGCACTCTGCTGCTGTTGCTGTACGTTTCATCACATTATAGTATTATAGCATTATGTAGGCCAGTATAGTTGATAGCAGAAAAGCAAGCATCTCCATGTCCTTGTGAGATACTGCCTGTGGATCTGACAGTGCAGTAACATCAGTAAGTGCCAGAAACTTGTGACGGGCCTAAGCAAAGTGAATCTTTCAGGGAATACAGAGCACCTCTAAGCCTAGTGGTTTCCTACGTCCAGAACAGTTTCTAGGTATGTTCTAGGAAAAGTCATTTATCTGATGAGCTCTACGGCATACAGACACAAGCTGCAGCTAGGATATGTGCAAGCTCCTGGCTTGTCACGAGAGTCTGAGCATTCTGACCTCCAGTACACAATGGGAGTTAGCAGGCTTTCAAGGTAATTTGCATGAGCTCAGATACTGATCAGCTCAGCTACTATTTGCATTACACGTGCTATTGCCTAGCAAAAAGCATGGTTTCTGTTCCGATTTCATGTTTTTCATTCATTAACCTCTAATCAACAGAAGCAAATAACTTCTTCTGTGTCAGCTCTATTCTACAATGCTAAAACCAGCCATTTATGTAGCTGCCCTGTGTGTAACTCTATAGACCAGAATGCCCTTCTTATGAAGGGCTTATGGTCCAACTGCAATGTGGGATTTGAGTGGCTAACTAGAACTCTGCAAATTATCTGTCGCTTCTTTGTAAGCCCTGCTTCCTTTCTTTACGTCTGCATTTGGACTGGGGATAATGAACTTCCTGTATCATGCACTGCAACACAAGGAAACCCATTGTATGCGAACCAAGGAAGAGTGTATCAGTGAGTGGTTTGTAAGGCAGCTCTGATGGGTCTAGTTAGAATGACTTATTCTCAGAGTTTCAGTGGTTTGATTAAGTGGATCATGTGATAAGCACTTATAATGAACTTCTTCACATGCTGCCAGGGGAAGCCCAGCAGATAAAGTGCTTAATCCCACGGCGTTGCTCTGTGCATAACAAGCTGATTGCAAAGACAGAAGAGTCATGCAATTCATTGGCTTCTCCTACTCAGGATAGCACAACAGTGTTACACAATTTTCTTTCTGCTGCCCAAGTCAAAATATTCTTGCTACTAAATCCAGTTCAAACTAGCATGCTTTCCCTCCCTCACCTCACCAAGCTCTCAACCAGGCAGGTTACAGCTGAATGTAACCACCTGCAACAAGCCTAGGCATGCTTCTGAGTGATTTCTTTCCTATTAAAGAAAACAACAGAAACAACAACAACAAATAAGAACGGAGCATAAACTTCTGAGCAACCCCAGCTGGTTTGTTTTTAAAAATAAAAATCTAGGTCAGCCTGAATCACCAAGGGGTAATCTTCATTTTACTACCAACAGCAGCAGAGGTCAACAAGCCAGCCTCACAAGGGGCATCTCTTGCAGTTTTGGCTGAAACCTGTGGGATCAATGACCAGGGTAAGACAACATCAGATGTGCTCTCTCTTCCTCTCCCCAGCTGGTGGCCTGCACTCTGCAGTGCCTTTGCAGAAAGCATTCTGGCTGAGCGATGAAGTGGGATGTGCTCGTTCCAGCCCTGTCTATTGGAACAAATTGTGCTGCTTCTCCAAGGCCAGTGCCATATCTCTCACTCAGCTGTAGCAAGGGTATGACAGAAGGGATACCTTCAGGAAAGTCGTCTGTAGGTCCTGGGTCTGAGATGAGTGACAGACCCCAAAGAGATCTGCTCCCTGGCCAGGAGGACCTGCATGTTCCCATTTCCAAGCCCAACAACAACGTGCATCAGGACCTGCCTGTTGCTCTGGTATGCCTGATGAAAATGCTTGTTAAAACTCTGCTACCCAGAAAAGTAGGAGCTCTACTTGCACACTCAGGTGTCAGGATGGAGAGGGTGACCATTTCAGTAATGTATGGTATTGAAGGAGCATGGGGAGATGCATGGGTGTGAGCTTTCAGCGAGGTAACTGGTTTTGCTTGGGATCCTTACATCAGAAAAACAGTGTGCAGCCATGGATAATACTTCCCTTTAGGTATTCACTGACACCAGAGCTGGGACTCTACCAAGTGGTAGCTGATGAGGCAGCGTCTGAAAAGCTAGCTGCAGGAATGCCTGTCCTCAGGCTACCTCACTCTTGGTAATTCCACTGAGTAATTAGTTCTTCAGGGTCACTTAGTGAATCATTTCTAAAGTGATCATTTTGAGAGTCCAGGTGTCAGGAGAAACAACAGGCAGAAGCAGCATGTCATGTCACCTTACCAGGAAAAGGGTTAATGTTGTTTGATGCAAGGTTGAATCAACCTGGTGGTGGTAACTGTTATGTCACATAGAGCCCTTACATCTCTCTCCTGCTCTGCAGTTGCAGTGAGAATGAAGGAGGGCTTAGCCTCCTTGCACAGAAGTACAGTCACTTGTGCATCATGACTAGAAAGCCTGTATGGCCACAAAGCTGCTTCTGCAGAGCACTCAGAACAATCTTGGTTCTGTCTGGCTTCATGCTTTGCTCCCCACTGTGCTTATTCTCACATATTCTGGCAGCCCCACACCACCCATGTGCTGTGCTGAGCACCTCACTGAATGCCAGTTCACATAGACAGGCATGTAGACAGCCCTGTGAGCGAGATCCTGTGCTTACAGCTTGCAAGTTTAAGAGCACTGCTGAAATGTATCGACGTGTTAACGAGCTAGGTTGGATGGCACACTCATCACATCTAGTGCAGTGGTTAGAAAGAGACCCAGCAGTGGAACATTTGCCAGGTGAAGAATGCAAGCGTGAATATCAGATTGACTTCTTAAATGAATCAGAACATCAGACAGGTAGAGGTGATGCCCTGCTTTCTGGCCTGACCTTTTTGTGACACTCATCTGTATGATAGGGAAAAGTGTAGGCCTGCGGCATCTCACAGTAAGCCTAGGGGATGGTAAGAAGTATTTGTTTGTTCAGGCTGTCAGCCTATAAATACAACTGCAGTTCAAAATGTACATCAAACTTTGTATATCAGTTTTCCTATACAGTGTTACTAGCCATTGAATTTCCTTAGGTCATATTATTCCACAATTAATGAGATTGCACAGCTGTAATCAAAGGGATAATATGATACTGATCAGATTTCAACAGCAAAATGCTGTTTCCAGCTGTGATGGCATGGGAGAAAGAAGGCCTTATCTTGATGTATTTTCCAGATAATAGCAATTCATGTACCTAACAGTGAGAAAAACCTTTAAAAATGCACTTTCTATGTGATCAGTAAGAACCCAGAACTGCAAAATTATGGTGCTGCTATTAGATTCAGTCATCAGAGAGTAACTTAATTGTAATTCTGTAAGCCAGGTTGAAATTTGCTCTTCAAATTGTTTCCACTTGACAGGGATATCTCCTGGAAATGTTGGCTCATTGTCCTTAATCGAAATTTTGATATTCTGAACTGAACATACACCCCCACAGCATTTAGCTCACAAGTTTGATATTTCAGATTATGTATGGATGTTGAACATGGAAGGATTTTACTCCACGCTTAAAACAATTCAGGTATAACATTTCCTCTTAATTTTATTAAGCAACTAGCAAATTTTAAAAGCTGGTATTTATTTATTGCTATGTTAAAATCAGTGTCTCCCCAAGCTCTGTGTGCCCAGTTTGAGAAACTGAATCCACCAAATTCCACAAGAACTGACAGATTTTTGTAAATGTGAAGCTTACTGAGGCTAAGTATTCCAAATAGAGAACCAGACTACAGTGTTTCATTCTCACTCCTCTAGCACTACATAACTCTGCTACAAAGGTGCATTGTGAGATTTCAGCTTTTACATTTTTAGCAGCTGAAGAGCATCAGTGAGCATTAAGTAGAATTTCTTTCAGACTCTGTAATCTTTACCACATCTTTTCCTTCTATGCGACAAAACAGATAAAAGTGCTTGTGGTTTAAAACAGGGACACTAAGCTACCCGTGATCTAGGTGAGATTGTGAATATTGTGAATTAGATCCTTTGGAGTATTACCGTGCTTTTTTGCTACTCTCCTACTTTTATGTATTAAATATCGTTTACAGATTTCCTGTGTAGGCCTGTCCCCAGGGACTGACAACCCGGTGTAGACAACTCATAAATAAAACGAGTGAGACATGAGCAAGAAAAAGCATACCATACTGCTGGGAATCACTCCAGGAAAATAAATGTGCAAGATGGCACATCACCCTACACAAAACTGGCAAAGGTAAAATAACATTTGGATTTGATCATTACAGAAAATAAAAGAATTTTGTGTTCATATGTACGTGCTGGTCTTTCCCTGAAATGAAAGGGCAAAGGTAAGAGTCCAAAGTCTGAAAGTGGAGTTCTGACTTACAGGAAAACAAACCTGCCAGTGACTGCTGCAGCTTATTTAACTGAAGTAGAGGATGAAGCCTGGATTTGATCCCTAGTTTTCAGAACGTCTGTGGACTCTCTAGGAACGGCCACCATCATCTATTTCCCATCTCTGCTGCTCACTAGTTCTGCAGCATATGCTTGCTTTTAAAGGACTGTTTAAATTCTAGGCCTACCTTTTCCTCACTAATGACAATGCATGACTTTATATAGAAGCGGCGTAAAAACACTGCAAAGAACACAAAAGAAACAATCAGCTTGCTTTCTTATAATGGGTTTGGATGAATATACCCTCCCGTTTCCATCTGTGCTTTATTCCCTTTTGCTCAAGAGTAGGATATTACATTTACTGGCACTGACGTTCCTCAGAGCTTATTCTTTTTCTCCCCTTCTGCTCTGCTCTCATTTTGCCACTTTTTTTTTTGACTATTTTTTAGTCTCCTGCATCCTCATTTTCCTAAGCGCTATCTAGTCTCCAGTTTACCATATTTATGAGCCACACTGCAAGTCCAAGCAACTGCACATAAGGTATGACAATAGGACAACTACAAGGAAATTATTACTATTTAAGAGATGAGTTGGCAGAAAAGACATCCTGCAACTGTGCAGATTGCAGACAGATGCTTACCTATGTTTTGCTTGGCTGTAATCTGGAAATGCACAGAATTCTTTGAGAGCAAAAGTATTCTTGCCAATTGTTATTTCTATGATGCTCTTATTTTTTGCTTTTAGGGATGAGGGTTTACCTTCATCATAAAAACTGTCTGCCTGGCAAGCAGTTGAAAATTTTGCTTGGGTTTTTAAATATCAATACATCCCTGTGCAGGCATTTAAAACAAGTTGTTTATGATTGAACATTCTCACACTATCATTGCTTGTGTTTCACTGCACAACAAATCTGCAGAAAAGCTTTTTATGCATCAAAATGAATGAAAACTTGCTTATGACACAGCAACAGGAGTTCTAGGAGAGGTGTATCTGAGTATCTGCCAGAATTGACATATGCTTATGTGACTTTGAAGCCTCGTACACCCATTGAGCAGATACAAGCCTTGACGCTCCTCAAAATTTTTGCTCTTCTCACAGTGACAGCCTTCAGGTCATCTTATCTGACAAAAGTAAACAAGAACATAAAACTCTTGTCAAGGATAGGGACTCCTGAAAGTTGATGAGTCCAGACTGAGGAGCATGAACTGATGTGTTTACCTTGGCTAGACCTTTCAAGAACCATAGTTGGGTGACGTGGAAGAAGCAATTTAGTGTAGACTTTTACAAGCTCAACTTCTTCCAACCTTTCAGGATTGGTGACTTCTCTTAAGCCAGAAGATAGTTTAAAACGTTATGTGGTGATTCCTCAAATGTATTCAAGACATTCTGTAAGAATTTTCTGCTCTAGGAAGAAAATTTCATTTGTTTTGCCACTTAAAGTCGCCTTTTTACCACTGATGAAGACTGAGAGAAAAGCAAGGCTTCTTATTCTTGATGGCCACTCAGCACGCAGGCCAGGAGAGGAAACAACCTTGAGTCCAGGTATCAAACCATTCCTTTGTTCTCTGGCTCCAAATGCAGAGAAGTCCTGAAGTTTCATGAATATCCCATTCAGGAAATCAGAACTCTTTTGGCAAGTGAAGATCAAAAGGAATTATCCTTTTGCTTATGCTGCGTTCTACTTGATTTTGCCACGTAATTTGGTAATTAGAAGGATTGGCAGGTAAGTAAAACAGGAAACCGTGATTCCTGAAATGCAGAAATCATCGTCTTGTTGACCTGTGCTGTATCCACTCAGGATCATTTCATTTTGAGAAGATGCCTTCAAATGTTTTTGATTTCCTGTCCATGTTTTGAATAGGAATGTCTACTGAAACCTCTTACCAAGCTACTCTGAAGACCAAGTACACAAGAAAAGACTTTATGCAAGTGCTATAATTTAATTAGTTCCTGGCACAGACACAGCCAGCACCAACTCAAGCCATATAAGACAGCTAACACTCACAGTGGCGTTTCTGTTATAGGTGCTTGGCCACTGAACAGTTCAAGGATCTGACCTAGCTGTAAAGAGGCCATTCTCATCTTTCAGTTGTGACTCGCACAGTGTCAAGTTCTAACCCGTATCCTGTGAATTACTCATTTCCTACAGGAAGTTCATCTTTGCTACTATCATTTAACAGAATCACAACCACCTATTCTGCTTTCAAGTACTTGCTTTCTAGTTTCAGTCTACCATAGTCTAAGTGTAAGTGTCTACAGTAGTCTAAGTGTATTTCCCCCGAATTGGCAGAATTTTTAGAGTGAAACGAGGGGTAAGGGTTCTGTGGTTTGAGAAAGTCAAATGTAAGTTCAATGTCTGATGCAAGAGCAAATCTCCTTGTGACAACTAATGTGCAAACGAATGGGTTTCTGTAGCTGTCTCCATCATGGGGGGAAAAAAAAAAAAAGGATGAATTTTTTAGTACTTGTGAAATATTCAGCTAATCTTCCCACTTGACTTGCAAGAGACTCAGTGACATGCTTTGTGTTTGCTTTTTAATATTCAGCATTTGGAAACTCCATCTCCCTGAGTAAATAAGAGCACTACAACTATTGTCTACACTGTGGCAGAACAAAAAGTCCTTTGGCCAGATGTGAGCATGCTATATCCTGCAGCTCCTCTCCCCAAGCCCTATCCACTCCAGATACAACATGGCAGCATGGACTGCCAGCAGGCTGCTTGTGAGCCTTTCTGTGCTAGTGTGCTAAACTACCAAGCTCGAAAGAAAAAGTCTTTGTGCCTACATCTGCAGTCACTCCTGTATGCTTGCCGTTTGAAATAGGAATAAGCGTGATTTTTCAGCAGGGTTCAGGTCTACTTTTAATGGAGTGCACGTGAAGGTCTTCAGTGATTATGTAAATGTACTAATTATGTAAATCTAGGAGACTTATGACAATTAGAATTAAGGGTGAGAATGTAAACATGGACCTTGTTATCTTGCACTTGGAGAAAGTGTTATTTTTCTGAACAATGTAACACGTTAAGACCTCAATTGCAACACAAATCTTTATTAACAAATCAGGTTGATGGGCGGAAAGATAAAGGTTAAAGACAATTTGTTATTTACAATTTTCAAATTTATATACAAATCCCAATGTTCTGAGTGCTGAACTCTTATGCCCCATACATATGTTGTTTGTTTTACCAGATCACGTGTGAATGAAAAGAACAGCTGTGACCTCTCTTGCATTTTGAAAGGGCTCTGATAAACACAGATTCAACTTAACAAAAAAAGTCTTGCATTCATTCCTTTTGTGTGCGTAAGGAACTGCAGAATTAACCTTAATAATTAAATTCAAGATTAATCATGAAAAAGCATCTAAGGTAAAACTGCATACCTGCTCATATTCAATTAGGTGGTTATCTGTTAACAGTTCAGTTCTGTCACTGTGGTTTCCTAACCTATAATCCACCCCATCTTAAGCAACACTTTTAAAAGTCCCTGAAATTGTGTGTTCAAGTAATACTTTTCCTCTTTCTACAACATGAAGTTACTTAAAGCATGTTACTAAAATTATTTTTTTTTCTTTGCATACATAATTTTAACAATTCTTTGGATTGGGTGTGATTTTTTTTTAAATTAATTTCTTATTTTTTTTTTAGCATAATCACTAACTTATTTCCACGAAGTCACTGATAAAACCACATCTGCACTATGGGGCTACACTGCTTTTTATTATACCAAATGATTGGTTCCAAAGAGTAACAGCTAAAGGTATACAGAAACTGGACATGAATGGCCCTCAGTTAACTGAGAGTAAAGCCCCATGTAGTCTTATAAAGATTTAGCTAAAGTTGGTAAATGAAACAGTCTAAGATTTGCATGCAACCAAAATACAGTGATAGATATTTCAGCACTTGCTGCCATTTCTGATCATCATCCCTTTTCTATGCCTTCTTTGACTGCATGCATTCCTTTTTTTTTTTTCCCAGAAAATACAGCTTTTCAAATATAAGCATAAGTAATGGTAATACAACAACAGTAACAACAGCCTTCTGAACTCAGCTGGAGATGAAGGCTGCCTCTTCCTCGCCAGCAACATTGTGCTGATCATGTCCTTCTGCAGGGCAACTGCTCTCAGCTTCTGCTAAACTGTGTGCTCAATACGGAATGTGGAAGAGATGAAACTATGGGTGCTGGGAGAAGAGTCTGGACATGAGAAATAGCATAGTTGATATTCTGGTGGGGAGGCAGATAAGAAAGGAAAATGAAGTAATTAATTCATAATTTACAAACATATACATTACTTGGCCTGTGAAAGTTTAATGATCTCTGTTTTTTTGGCCTTCTTCCACATACTCTTTCTGCTGTCTAGGCTTTCCCATGTCTCAAATGACCAAAACACTTCAACGCTTCCTGAACTGCGCTCCCAGTGAAAGACAGGATAAGGCAGGACAGGAGAGGATGCAGCAGAGGGCCTACTGTGTTCTGTACTTTGTTCTTGAAATGACCAGAGTAACCTCCCTCCCTCAAAGCACCTACTGTGAATGCCTGCAGTCCATGACAGGGTTCCAAGGCCTGGAAAGATACCTGAGTCAGCAGAGCGTGCCCACCTGGAGTCTATAATATCAGCAGGCGCATCATCTTAATGCTCAAAAGAATAGTATTAATGCATTTCTCCAGCCATGAGAAAGTGCATTACATCTATGCAGTTTGCCCCTATGTTCTCCAAACAGTTATGTGAAACCAGCCCGTACTTCCCTCTTACGGTGGGGTGAATATAATTCTCTCTGGAAAAATTCTGCATCTGAAAGAAGATGTTAATTTGCAGGAATGATTAATAGTTCTGCTGACTGCTAAAAATCCAGTTAGAGCAGTTAGGGTATGATGGCTTTACAGGAGCGGGATGAAGTTTATTTGATTTTCTGTAACTGAGTGTCCTCAGCTGAACCTACCAACCCTTTGCTGTGCAAGGATTGTAACTCCCACTGCAGTTGGCTCAGCCTCCATTTCTATTTTTAGTGCAGATCTTGCTCCTTTTTTAGACCTGATTGCACAGCCAGAACTGCGTTCTCAGCAGCTCAGTGAAAAGCCTGCCTGTTCCATTTTATAACTTTTCCAGACAAAAAGATGGGAAGCCTGCAGCTTTCCAAACACTCTTATTTTTAAGAGCTTGCAATACGATACAGCCCAAAACCCAAGGGCTGAATGAATCCCTGCTGAAATACTATTGAATTTTCTGGGGTTTTATTCAGCATTAATTTGGCTGCTAATAAGATACTTGGGATATTAAAACATTAAAAAAACAAATAACCTCCCCCCCCCCCACACACACACACACAAACAACAACAAAAAGCAAAAAACAAAAAACCCTTCTTCACTGTAAGTACTTAAAAAGATATTTATCAAAAAGGTAATAATGTACATCTGGATCAAATCCTCCAGAGAACATATCTTCTTTAGATTCATAGTTTATAAATCCAATTGATGGAAGCAACTACTAGCCAAGAAAGAAAGAAACAAGGAAAAATGGAAAACACTGAGTTTGAGGATTCTCTAAGCAGGAACAACCACACAGAAGCAATTTTCTGGCACTCAATTAAAACCACTCAATTAACATTTTTGAACAAAGTTTCCCACTGCAGATAGAACAGACAGAGTTGCTGTAGTTCTGTCTGTGTTAGCGACAGTGCTTCACCTCTGCTTAAAGTGTTTGCTTCTGCAATATCTTCTTAGTGATGTATACTGAGGAAGTTATATTTCAAAGTGTTGTACATATTAAAAAAAAAAACAAGATGAAGATGATTACAGCTGTTGTTAGGCTGTAAACACACAACCTACATTGCTAATACAAGTAAAACACGTCCTTATATACATGTACTGAAATATGTTGCCAATAGTGTGATAACAGTTTGCATCTTACTATACACCTAAATCAAGCATACCTGCAAATATCATTTTATTCTTAACCCAAAGTATAATAAATATCCTCATATGCACAGGTCTCTTCTTAGAAGAAATCTTAAACCCTTCCCTCCTGCAACAAATCTCTAAGGAATTGTTATGCTACTCAGGCAGTAATCAGTGAATTCAGCCATCTTTATTGGACACGTAATGACATCCAACACCCCTCTTGCAATGGGGGAGACTGACTGCAGATGGAGATTTCCCTCAGCTTCCCCTGCATTCAGGCAGTTCACTAATTCTTTTATGTCCCACTGAGAACACAAAGGCAGATTCAAAAGAAAATTAACTGGAAGAGTAAAGGAATTAAAATCAGTGAAGGAATTGATAGACTAAAATATTCTTATTGTAAATTCAGGAATTTAATTAGCCCCTGGTCAAACACTGAACAAATCAAAGCCAATAACAAACGGAAAGATCATTAAAAGTAGATATTCAGCAGATCTGAATTTACATATTTTGTGTGCCTCAAACACCCAATTCATTCTGTGAAAACGGAGGGTGTCCCAAACAGATGAAGTCAGGTTCATTATCTCGATTTAAATAACACAAAGCTCGAAAGAGAGAAGCTGAGTGCCACAGGAAGTAAGTACTCAAGATCACTATCTCAAAGGCACAAGGTTAAAAACTGAAAGGACTGGAAGTTATCAACCGAAAATAAAAAAAACCCAAGTACTTGAAAGCCTGTTTATCCTAGCTGGCATCAGGAATATTGTACCCTTGTACCCTAAATAGAGACCGTGGAAATCTGCCTAATGAGGGTATGCACTGTCTTGGCTGTGGTTTTTAGCACTACATGCAGAGCTGAAACTCTAACAAATTTAGGAGAAAAAAAAAAAGAGGGAAAAAATATACTGTCACTGCTAAATGTCAAAGCTAAAACCAGGCCAATGGAGTCACAACTGTAGTGCAAAATGTATCAATTTTCCTCCAATTTATATTCTGGACATAGTTTTTAATAATAAAAATGGCTGCTGAATCCATTTGGAAGTAAATCTTGTCAAAGACTGTATTGCTTTGTTTGTAATTCAACGCTACGAAGTGGACCCTAACAAATGATTTGTGTCTGATGAGCAACTATTTCTGTATTTTGTTTGGAATGACCACGTCTGTGTTTTGAGTTAGGAAATGTGCACAACATTAAAATGAAATTATTCAAGTGCCATTTTACCTCAAAATGAAGTAGGTCACTTTGAAGTCAGCTTTGATGGCCAGTTCTGTTGCTCCTTTTGTTGTTGTTGTTGTTGTTTTTTGTTGGTGTTTTAAGAGCATCAGCCTCTACTTAATCACTGGTAACTTTCATGGAGAGCAAACAAAAGGCTCTTTTATTTATCCATTATGTTACTAAGAGGTGAGAACAGCTTGATGCAAATGAAAATCATTAAAGCATTCTGTGCTACCATTAACTGTCTGAATATCTGCCTATGCAAATACAGCACACAACCCAGTGAAACTGCAGCCTCATGACCTACCGCATTGAAAATCTATGCCTTATGACTCTTTTAACCCAACAGTTAAAATACTCCGTGTGATGTGCCTCTGTAAGCACTTAGTTTAAATGAGCATGGAAACGGAGTGTAAGCCATTACACAGAAACATTCTCCATTTCAGAAACCCCTTCACCGTGACTGGCCAAGGGTAACATCAGAGCTATCTGATTCATTACAGTGCTGCAGTATGGAGCTAAAATGTGATTGCCCAGATGTGAACCTGCATGCAATTACACCCAGAACCTCACTTAAGTAAGCAGTCCCATTTAAGACAACATAAACATATCATAATGCAAAACCACGAACGGTCTGCAGGATTAGAGGCCTAATTAGATATAAAATCTACTGACTTCCTTCTTTAGAACTCTGTCCTTTGCACAGCCACTTATCCCCATGCAACTGAGCACAGAACAGCGCTCTCACTAAGTAGCACCCTACCCAACAATAAAGATGAGTAAGTGTATGAAGCTGGAGAGCTCAGCTGAAGTAGTACCTAGCAACCAGAGTGCGCGAGAACCTTCGTATTCCTAAGAATTCTAACCAAAGACTTACATATGGCAGTTTAGAAAGCACCTTAGAGGAGGACACTTTTTGCTGCTCTCCTTGGTGAAATTTAGGTTAGCCATCAGGCAACAATTTACTTCGAATGCCTGAGAGCTTTTCTAGACTAAGTTTTGGCAGAAGTAAGGGATATCTCACCCTCCTTTGGGACACATACCTTTGTTACCTACTCTTACACCACAGAACAGAGGTTAGGACAATGTGTTATTCAACAGCAGCTGGAAATGAAGTGGTTGATTGGATTCTGTGCCTTTACTGCTTGAAGGACTTAGATCAGCCTCTCCTGTTTGCTAGGAGAGTACTCCCATCAGCAGAGGTCTGTGTACAAAGCACCTCTGACATCCAACTTGAGATTTTGACAATCTGTGCTGGGGAATGGAAGACACTCAGGCCAGAAAGAATAAGGATACTTTAGTCTCCTAGGCTGCTTACGTATTTTCATTAAGCAGTAATTATACAGCTTGAATGCACAGTACTGAGTGCAGGGACTAAGGACTCCTAGGCAAGTGCTCTTATTACTTATTTATTTGGATATCATGAAATTAATGTATTTGAGGCACTTAGAAAAGAAAGAAATTCAGTGGGACTGAAAACCCCCCTAGAAGTCTTCTTCTGAGTTTGGCACAGCGGAACACTTAAAATACTTTATTTGAGTCACTGCTGCTTCACCTGTCCTGTTTAATACAGTGGTACCATGGAATAAACTGAACATCAGACTGCTCATCACCTGCACTGCCAAGCTGGTAGCATGCTGCGTGGCAGCTTTGGCCCATAGCAACCATCTGGAGTGATGCTCCCAAGCAGCTCAGGGGACAGCACTTGGACACAGCGAGACTCAGCCAACTCTCCGGCCTTCATTATTTCATAATATTGCATAAATGTAATGTATGGTAAGGAACATTATGAAGAACCCAATAAGAAAATTATAAATTCTTCTGTCACAGTATAATTAATGCCAAGTAATTTGGATTTTTATTTTACCTCTAAAGTAACAACGTTCCCATTTTATTGATGACTGAATTAAAATTAGCTAGAAATACTTCGTTTTTATTAAGACATAGATAAAAGATAAAGCTACTCTGAAGGAGCTTGAAAAATATAAACACTACTAATTTCTTTTGTTTAAAATAACCAATTTTTGCATTACTGCAAGCAAAAAGCAATTTTGTACCTGCTAGGTGAAGAAGAAATTAGGGAACTGACTAGTGATCTAATGCTGGAGCAATGGAGACAAACTCAGGTTACTGGCAGTGAAACCTTCATCACAAAACTGGTTTACAAAGTTGCAGCAAGAACATGCAGTCTTTCAACAGTTGTATGGGTTTTATTTTGCCAACAAGAAGTAAATGAAGGTGGAGGTTTTGGGGTAAGAAATCCAATTTCCTTCTCTAAACAAGCACATTAAAAAAAAACCAAAACAATACAACATCCTTATTCACTGCAGTAGAAAAGTACAGTCTGTTTTCTAATAGATAGTAACCATAACTGCTATCTTCACACAATGAAGAAAAACCATCAAGAGCTGCAAGAAAGATATTATCTAACCAAAGATGTATGCACTTTTCTCAGAGCACAAGAGGTCTGGGCACTGGCAGTTCTTGTTCACCTAATGCCTTATTTCAGAATGATACAGTTTTGCAGACTAGACCTCGATTACATTTGATTTACTGACTGATTCTCTTCTGCTTCCTTTTAAAGATAAAGAATGTGCTTAAAGCAGAGCGTGAGAATGCGATCACTTCTTGGAAGGCTGTTCCCTCTCTGAACAATCTGAGACATTTTCACAGTTATTTTTACAGTATAACCATTTCCTATTTTCCCCATGTTAACAGTTTCAATCTACGATCACTTTCTTTTGCAAAAAGCACGGTCCTAGTGAGAACACATCACTTAAGTATTAGAATGATACAGAAGCCTATATTCTGTCCTGAGAAAAACAGCTACTCAAAATACTATCTCCACAAAATATCTTTTAAAGTAGCATATGAAAAGGAAGAAAAGGTGCTGTGGGCAGGGAGACTGAAGAAGACACTGCGTTTATATTTTATGAATTTGGGGGCTCGTGTTGTTTGATATTATTAGCCAAGCCATCAAGTTACCACTTTTGAAAGAAAATAGCTATCACTGAATTTCTAACTAACGCAGCTGCAAGACTACTCAAGAGACACCACATTACAGCAGAATCAAGTCGCAGTCATTTAACTGCACAGCTTCCAGAGTAAAAGTACCTGATCTCTGTACCTGACTAGAAATTCATAACCACCACACAAGATTTTCCCCCTAGAAACTGGAAACAGAATTATGGTGTCTCTCCTTCCTAACTACCACTTACATATCACATCAGAATAACAGGTAACACTTTATAAATTTGTGTTCTACCTAACTTTGTATCTCCAACTGTATCTATCTCATGCTTTAAGATATACAATGATCAATATACTGGCAAGAAAATATATTTTATTTGCAAGTCTCCAAAATTGTTGAGGTAGATCTGTGTGCTGATTAGGCTTGTACTTATAGTGTCAGCCTTTATTAGATATTACTGTAATTGGTGGTCTACATTAATAATTATATTTTTATACATCAAGCACACACAGTAGTATTTATATAGGGAATACATATTTAGGAAGACCATATTCTGCATGAACTTCAGCTCCAGTAATAACTCTCTGGGATCACCTTTTGTAGCAGAAATGCTAAGTCATGGCATGAAACAGTGAGCACCTGGTGGAAGGCAGGGCCAACCCAGGGGAGCTCAGGTGTATGCAGTGCACCTGAGTGACTGGAAGGGGTGGAGCCAGGATCCACCCCTTCCCAGACCTCATTTAAGGGTTGGTAGTGAAGGTGAGGGTAGCTTGCTGGAGAGCTCTGCATCCCTGATGTCTTCTGAAGGTAAGCAGCTTCTTTCCTCTATTTCTGTGCCCATGGCTGTTGCAGTTGAGCAAATTCCCTTGCTGCAGCCTAGGACCACGCTACTTTGCTGTTGTTGCTATGCTTTTCATTCTGTTACACCTTTACACCACTCTGTTTGCATTGCCTTTTTCCCAGATGTGCCACCTGCCTACCAGTGTCTAAAAATACTTACAGTATTATTAATTAGCAGCTAGCGTTTGCATCTTCAAATGGAAATGAGCTTTGATTTTTTTAGAAAGAGTTAGGAAGTGCAACTGTGTTAACTGATGAATGTCACATCAAAATAAAACACTAATAATTGCTGGCTAAATATTAAATCTCTAGCAAATAGTTCTATGGCATTCTGTAGCTTTCTGCATCTTAAGAGGATGCATTTAAATGTATCTACACCATTCATTTATCCCCCTCCTGATTATTTATGCCCATTAAGATCTGCACTAGAGGAAGAAAACTCCTGAAAAAACCCATCAGTACTGAAAAAAAGAACAGCACTAAGAAGTATTAAGTGAATGCTGTTTAAACTAGGCTTCTGTAGTCATGAAAATCATTTAGTTGTGAACATATATTAGAACACTACCTTTAGAACTTCAAGCTATGCTAGACTTAACCTTAGGATAAGCATGTCTGAAAAATCTTAGCCATAAAGACCAGCAGACTCCTAGGCAGTGTCTAGTTTACAAGAAAAACAGCACTCTTCCCAATAGCCGTAACAAAATAGAAGGTGTGAAGGAAGTCTTTAGGTGTTAGGTATTCCAATTTCAGGAAAGCATCTGTTACTCTTGTGAAACTCCCAAGTCACTCAGAATACACTGGATGGATTATGCTGAGTGAGAGATGATTAGATAAATAAGGACTGTGTAAAAACTCTGAAGCTTAAGGAAAACAGTGAATACTGTAGGGCTCAAGATGAACCTGAAAACTGATAGCCAATAGAAGACTTATGTGAAAAAGGACATGCAACAATGTATCTGTGTGTGTGTAGTGGCAAAGGAACTGTTATGAGATGCAGTTTTCTTTAACATCTTCATTAATCTTTGAGAGGCCATGATGTGGACAATTGCAAGGATATGGAGGTATATCGAAGTAATTATAAGGGCTACAATTCAGTCAGAAAACAGCAAGATGAAGGTAAGTACAGGAGAAAAAAGCAAGTTATTGCTGTGGAAAATACTGAGGGAAATATTCTGGAACATATTCAATGGGATGGAAATAACCCTATGGCATAATATTTGTAGAGAATCTAAGGATAACAAGTAAGCAGAAACTGCAAATGAATCTGTAACAGAATACCAACAAAAAGACTAATTTAGATTTGACTTGCATACTTGGAAGTACTGTATCCTAGAGCAGGAAGGTAACGGTTTCTCCCATGTAGCTTTAGGGCAGATTGCAGAACGTTTTCTCTGTGAACAATCAGCTAAGCCACTGGAGCCTCTTGGCGTACCAAATGTTAACGTCATCTGGCAATTCATTCTGTCTTACACACAGAGGTCATATGGGTACCTGAAACATCGTAAATGGCTCTACCTAGACAATAAATCATAAATTCTTCATCTGTGCTCTTTGTAACTACACCTGGAATTCGCCAATGAGTCCCAGGCATATTACTAAAATGATCTCTGCAAATTGGATGGAATTCACATAAAAATAACAGAAATCCTTTGGGGGCTGGAAAGATTCAAAAGAAAATATTGCAAACATAAGCAAGTGTAGCTTAAGGTAAGCAAATGAGAAGTTCAAAATCTTTCTTAACTTTCATCTTGTTCTGGAAAATTCTTCAAAAGGAAGAAACCAAGAAGGGGGGGGGGGGGGAGGGTAGAAGGGGAAAGAGGTGATAAAAAGGAAGACAGACAATACAGGAAATCTTAAACTGTGTTCTGAACTACAGGTAGTTGACTTAATGGGGGGAGGGGGAATAGTTGGTGTCCGGAACAGCAGCATAAAGTATGCATTCATATATTACAGAAACCAATACTGACAGAGATGGAGAAAGCATTTAATAGGCCTCTGCCATCTTTAATTTAATCTTAAAGCACTTTAAGTTTACTCTGCTGGTGACTCTCCTATCTCTTCCTGGATAACAGATGGCTGTTTGTGATCAACATACCAGACAGAAGCTTCTTTCACTTTAATGCATGAATGGGGAATGCTGCTTGTAAGTCAGACTATGTGGCAGAACAGGTGATTTTGCCACTTACCATCCAGCCCCATTTTTGTGATTCATTCATTAAAAACACATTTCACATTTTGAAACAAGTAAAGTTCAAATAATGATCACATGTGTACATACAATTGGCTGCATAAATTATTATGATAAGAGACTGATAGGACATTCTGCAGTTACACTACTTGGAAACCTTACATTATGGAATCTTTTAAATTACTTATTTGAATCATTTGGGTGAACTGTTTGCATCAGATAATGGGTTTTTTTGTTTGTTTTGTTTTGTTTTCCAGTGGAGAGTTTCAGCTAAATGGTTTGGCTACCCATAAGAACAAGTATATGAAAAATTTGTTGCTGATTTAAAAATAGTTCTTACAGCCGTTTACCTCAGCTCCATTGTATGGAATAGAAACTTCAGAGTTTGGTAGGATGATGTATGTGTACATAGAAACAATACATTTTTTGTAAACCCCACCAAGTCGCACATAATTTCTCTTGGGAAGAGATAATGTATGTAAGATGTAAAAATAAAAGCAATTATTTTCATAACAAAAGCTATTCAAATGCTCAACCACTTTTGCCTTCCTACTGCATAACTTGCCAGCAACTCTGACAGACATACCATTCACACAAACACTACTAATGTTTAAATGTTAGATGTCATTTACACATAGTTTTATCTCTTATGGCCATATCCAACTCTTACAGGCATCTAGTTTTTTAATAGCTTTGATTCAGCAACACTGCTCAAACAGCGGCTCTACCAATACTCCTTGATTATCTAAGACTTAATTAGATCATCTTAATTAAATCTCAACTACTAACTTCTTTTTGTCATACATCCAGCCACTAAACTTCACTTGCTACTACACTGTTAGCTGCTCTCTAACAGCATGTGATACACTAAACTCATTACAGAACCATATAAATATTGTTCTTGACAACATGCTGCTCTCTTAACATAGGAGGAAAGTCCAACCCCTTTTTGACATACAGAATTCCATTAGCAGAGAGTAGATCAATACTGCTTCATCTCTGGATACAACATAATGCATTTACTGTCAGTTTTCTTGTATTATGTGTATGCTGTTAATATGATTTTTAAATAAAAGTAGTATAGTTCTGCTTTGTTACATACGTGAAAATCTTTATTCATTTTTACATTTCAGATGATATCGTTTCCTTGAGTACTTATGTGTTCTCTTGTACGCACATTCACTGGTAGGTTCTTCTGATGTTAGGCCAAGGTAAAACCTGAAAATGTTGGGGGGAAAAAGAGTTATGGTCAAATAACTTCCAATTAAAACTTCTGTTTGAAATGTACATTGCTAAAAACAAATGCAACCCAGGAAGCAAAATGGTTTAAAAGTAGTTTTGTATCTTCATATAAGCATTATGTATAAGAATTTGTATATGTAACTTATTTGCACGCACATGGAATGTGGCAGTATAACCTGCTGCACTGTATTTCATACAGCTAAGGTTTTCTGAAATGAAAACATGGCATAGAATGTGTTTTGTGCAATGATGATGAAAGCTCTTTCTCCTAATGGCTAAATCATCTGTATCAATTAGAGGAACCCATAATTGAAATGTTCAGTGAACTACATGCAATTCTTCTAAAATTTTGATCATCAGATTCAGTCGTGTGATAAACAGCAAAGAACATCACAGAACCTCCTTTGGTAATCTAATCAACTTCCATAATAAAACTTGTTACAAAGCTCTGCTCTCCTACTTCCACACAGAGAAGAAACTCTTTCCTCCATTGGTGAGAAATCTTTCATGTCCAGTTGATCTCCAGCTTAAATTTATTATGACCAGTTTGAAGCTAATCATTCTATATCAGTACTGTTCTTCTGCTTAAATATTTTTCCTTCCTGCTTATGCCAAAGTTAGTGATATACTTACAAACTTCACTTGTGTTCTCTTTCATTGTCCGTTTTCCTAGATGGAGTCAAATGAATCTTATATTCTCTTGATGACTTAAAAAAAAAAAAAATAGCCCAAATAAGCTAGGACCTTGATCCTAGGACCTAAGATCTTGTACAATAGCTCTTGTACAATCACACTGATGTATCACTTGCTTTCATGGAAATAACCTCATGCATTTTAGGCCTCACTTCCAGAACTTTTCTTCTGCCACTTCTGGTTAAGGAGTTTCTAGTTCAGAGCGGAAGATTCTTAGCTACTTTCAAGTTCAAAACCTTGCACTTGATATGCAAGACAAGATATTATAACACTTCTATTTAAATGCAAGCCAGACAACTCTTCCTATGTGTATCTGTTTTCCAGAATTAAGGTTATCAGCCATTCTTATTTATGCACTAAATAAAACACTCCTATAGATGTTAAATGGCAGATTTTGCTTATAGACAGCTTCTAGTTTTATAGCCCTCCTTTCCCATTAGAAATTCTTTATGCACCCAACTTAATTTCTCATATGGCACTAAACTGAATCTTTTTCTTGGAGCGCAAATTAACCCTAATTCATTTCCTTTGTCAGTAAAATAAATTATATTGAAAGGAAAAATAAATGAACAGAACCCAAAACAATCCCTCCCACAAAAATACCTCTAATACAGGAAAGAATTTTCTTTCATGTTCTTTTTTATTCTGTGTTTTATTTTTTTTCCTAGGCCCCACATACTGCAATGGTTGCCCATAATGCTTTCTTGGGTTCTCTTTCAAATGTATTTCACTTTCAATCATGTGGCACCATTCTTGCTCTGACAGGTTTACTAAGAATCATTGCTAAAAGACTGCTTTAATACTTTCCAAGTATTTTCACACTTGAGACAAGGCCAGTTTTCTCATCAGTTTTCTAGTGGCAAAATGTTGGTGTAAGACCATTAATTAAATGTGTTATCGCTCTGGTTTTGACAGAACCCAACTGCATTACACATCAGAGCCAACTGCCTAGCCTGTATCTATTCACTAAGAATTATTTTTTTTTGTTAAGAGCTCTCATGAATTACAATCTTAAGCACTATTTCCAAAGCACAGTTACCTCTACAAATGAATTCTGCAACCCGAGTGGCTCTTTAAGCCAGTCTGGTAGCCTGGGAGTTGCTCAGCTTCTTGCTTTTCTTTTTTTGCTTACATTTTTGTCTGCTGACAGCCATGTAGCACTTGACTTTCCAGTGGTATGTAGTACAGTGGGCATGCACAACGCTGCCTCAAATCATAGCAAGAGTAGGTCTAACTACTGGGAGAGTAAGAAACGTTTGTCAGCACTCTCACATAAAGAATTTTCCTGTGTGCTTGCCTATGATGACCAAGCCAATAAAAACAGAAATACCGAATGCCCTGAAAATTGGCAGGAACTCAAACGTGGATACACAAGTCAATTATGAAGTTAGGATGTATTGTACAAAATGTTACCTTCTGTACTATAGTCTAATCTTCTACCACCAAGTTCTTTTGCATTTTGCTATTGTAATCAGACACTTGCAAAAGATGGCTTTTCTCTGACCTAGTTAGTTCTGTCTGCTCATAACCGCAGTTATATATTTTGGGGGAATTGCAAATACCATTTTCGAACAATTTTTCTAAGTAGGCATACGGTGTGAAGTAAGAGAAAGAAGAGACTGAAACGTCTTTTGTTAAGAAAAGCAAACCTGTACTGATTTTACTCTACGTGGACGTTGTAACTTTAAAGAAAATAATGAGTTTTGATGATAACTAATATTAATAATACTCATTTTTTACTGTACAGTTGTTTAACTGCATGATTAGAAGCAGTTATATATATGCAAGCTTGATTATTTTCATGTAAATACGTGGCTGGCTAATGGGGAGTTGCTGCTTAGCAACTGGAGCAGAGAAAGGGGTGCTTGCTTTAGAACAGGAAACTGAATAAAACCTTGCAGAGTACACACAGCGTTTGAAGATACCATAGAAAATGGGTGGCAGTGCTCTGCAACCATGATGCTTCCTTTTGTAATTACTCACATCCTAGGATGTCAGCATTTCCAGGTAGTAGAGGATAAACTCCATCAAAAATCATTTATAATGATAATATAATCATAATAAATGATAATAATAATAATAAATGATCATAATAAACGATAATGATAAATAATCATTTATAATTAATAGATGTGCACAACGTGAACAAACAACAAATAAGGTAAGTACTAAGGACAAACCCTGACACGCAAGCTAAAACGTAGGAAAATCCAGAAACAGACTTTGTTTCTGCTCTCTACTGTAACGGTTAAATTGACAATGCTATCGATGCTCCTCAGACCTCAGTGCCTTAACCTAGTGATCAACTTATGCTACCATAAGCCAATACTGCTGGAAGAAGCCTTCTTTTTTGCTCCCTGTTACTCAAACTCAGCCCCTGCTCTGTCTCCTCCGCTGTGCAAGCGCAGGCATTTCTACATTCATAATGAGGCAGATGATGGACCTGATCTAGGTTAAAACCAAGCCAACACTTTTAGTTGGATCACCTTTACCTGGACCAGCATCTGAATTGAGTTTATTATGCAGTCACTCCACTACTAGGAGGAGGAAGGAGGGGACCTCTCCTGACAGTGCTGGCTCAAACCTTTTGTGAAAATACCTTCTCATCCTGGTGTGACCGCACATCCTTTGTGTGACTGCAAGAAGAATATGAAAGCAGAAGTGTGCTCTATGAAATGAAGAGAAACTGAAAAACCGTATCTCAGAGGAAGTACCAAAGAGATGTCTTCATGACTGAGACTACTACTTGGATCACACTATTTGTATCAAGAAGGAAAGTCCCTTAGTTTTTTCCTAAGGTCTCTTACAACATTTTCAGGAATTGAAAGATCATATGGACAGGAATCTGGCTGCAGTTTAGGTATTAGTGTTGTCTCAGTTCTGTCATCTTCCTTTTTCAACAGTTCCTCTTAATTCAAAACATAGCCCTCCCTGATTTAACAAACAAAAATGTTTAGTTGTAATAGAAGAGCGAATTACGTGCTTTAGTGACTCCTGGCTCATGCTTCTAAAAAGTGATTCCTGATATCTACACTATGCTATTGTGGGAAACCGCTTCCGCTTCAGCAGAGCTGACAGACGTGAACTTGTGCCTGCACATCAAGCACAATGCTTGTTTAGAAGAAGCCAGAATATTCAGCAGCTTAAATGCCTTGGGTTATGTACCAGCTCAGCTGAGGTGCAGATACATACTGTGTTCTGTTGCCTGGGTATATATACCAACAGAATATAGCAGTGGATCAGTATCTCACAGAAATGAACTGCTAGTGTGGTAGTATCTTAAGGGGTAACACAGCACATCTGTTGGTGTTGAAAGCCATTAAGCAGTCAGTGAAGTAAGAGTGGTGGGAAGATGCAATACTCAGGAATTCAGACAATCATGTAGACAGAAAGACAAGAGCGTGGAAGGGAGTGGTGCCCATACTGAAGTTCTATGGAAAATCAGGGAAATGCAGCAATTAAGCAACAGTACCAAATGCATTCAAATAGCAAGGGCTGGAAATACTGCTTAGCAACATGTTCCACCCGTGACCTCCTAGTGATTTATTAGTCTTCATGAAAATCAGGCGTTTCTAAAAAGAATATTCTTTAAGTTCCAAAGGGTTTCTAAATACCAGCCTGTCCAAAAAAAAAAAAAAAAAAAAAAAGAAGTTGTAGCTCAGTTATATTTTCAATGTAACAGTTCGGGTTTTAATCCTACTGCAACTCCTCACTTCTGTGATGCAAGACTTCTTGAAGATGAGGTGACTTGACATTTTTTACTTGTGTTTGCATAAACGCAAGCTTCAGAAGGAATAGAGGGGCAGGCCAGGGGAAACAGACAGTGTACAATGGGAGAGCAGGACAGCAGCTACCCTTGAAGCAGACAGGCAAGCTTCCTGCTCATTACAGTGAAAAAAACGAAGGGTAGCAACTGCCTGGCCTGTCTTTTGTTTAAGTCTAAAACCAAAACATATGTAAGGAAAATGTGAAACAGATGTTCCACATATTGGACTTCTGTCATATTTTACAGATTTGTACATTTGTCTCCCCGCCATCCAGCCCTGCACCCATATGTAACACCGTAATTCTGGGTACATCTACCAAGATTCTGCTTTTTTAGAGGCAGTCCTTGCACACAGTCAACTCTTCTGGTATTTTTTCCCCAAAGCCTCAGCTCCGAGACAAAGACACTACAAGAGGGAACACAGCTGGAGGCGTTGGTTACCATTTTAAGTCAAAACCCACCCTAATGAGCCGAAAATTATGAAGTGAGTTCTCCTAGCGGCCCAGGGACCAAATAAACAGCCCTAAATCCCCCCGATTCTCACTCAAATCACAAACGGGGGTTGAGACGCACCTAGCTTCCACAGCTCTTTATTTTTTTCCCCATAACTTAACGCCGGTTTCCTAGGCGATTCCCCACTTCTGCTGGGATTCAAGCAGCAAAGCGCCTCACCCCCACCCCTCAGCGAGCCAAGGTCGAACGCTGCGGCGTTCGGGCACGGCACGTCCCGACCTCCCCTCGCTGCGCGGGGCACAGAGCGGAGCGGCAGCTGTGAGGAGAGGGGCGTGTCGCGAGCAGAGCCCGGCCCAGCCTCCGGCCCAGCCCCGCCGCTCCGCCGCAGCGCGCCCGGCCCCGCCCCGCCGCAAACCAACCGCCGCCCTGTGCTCGGCCGCCCGCCGGAGGGGGCGCACTGCTGGGCGGGAGCGCGGCCCGGACGCTGCGGTGCGGCCCCGCGGGCAGCGGTTGAGGAACCTCGCGGCTGCCCTCAGCACTTCCCGGCCGCCCGCCGTGCTTTTATTTTGTATCTCGGCGCCGTTAATCCCCGCCGCGTGCCGACTCACCTTCCCGCAGCGAGGCGACTCGGCATCCAAAATGGCGGCCGGGCCGCCTTAACCCAATGGCGGCGCATCGGCGCTCCCCGGTCCGCCCCACCGGCGGCTCGGGCTTCCGCAAGCCTCGCCCCAAGCCCGCCCGGACGAGCGCCGAGCCGCCGAGCCGCCGAGCCCCCTTCCTGAGGGAGCGGCCGGGGCAGAGCGGCGGGCGGACATTTTCCTCACCCCCCTCCCCTCGTTCCCGGGGCGGGATGCGTGTGCGTGAGCCCCGCGTCCTCCCCCCGCCGCTCCCCGAGTGGTTGCGCCCGTGACATCATCATCATGGCAACAACAGCTGCAGCCCGGAGCTGGGGCGCCGCCGCCGAGGCGTACGCGCTGCTGCGGGGGGAGCAGCCCGCGCTACCCCTCAGGCGCCGGCGACCGGCGGGGCTCTAGAGCCTGACGTTGGGGGGGGCGACCCCGAGCGGGAGCGCGCGGCCCGCGCACGCGCCCGGCGCAGCAGCGGGCGGAGGGGGGGAGCGAGCGGGCGGGCGGGCGAGAGGCGGACAGAAGGAGACGGCGCGCGCCTGTGTGGGGCTGCGCGCGCCGAGGAGGGGCGGGCGGGCGGGCAGGGGGCTGCGCTCGCTCCCTCGCTGCGGCGGGGGGGGCTCCGCGCCTCGCTCAGTGCGCGCCTCGGCGGCGGCGGCCAACACCATGTTCTCAGTGAGGATCGTGACCGCCGACTACTACATGGGCAGCCCGCTGCCCGGCCTGGACCCCTGCCAGTCGCACTTCCGAGAGGCCCCGACCCGGCGGGTGCCCGTCGTCAGAGTGTTCGGTGCCACCCCCGCAGGTAAGGGACCCTAAGGCGCTGGGCCGCGCTTTGTGGCAGGGAGGGGGCGCGGCCCCCTCCCCACCTGCCCGAGCCCGGCCGCAGGTGCGCGGCCCGCGGGGCTTTGTGCGCGGCGCGGCCCGGCCGGAGCTGCCCGAGCGCCGGAGCCGTGCACGCGGCGGTGCCGCGGCGCTTTCTCCCCTCCACCGCCCCCCCCCCCCCCCCACTCCTCCGCGGGGACGGCCCCAGGGAGCGGCGGCCCCGTGCTGCACTGCGGGGCACGGCCGCGGGTCGGCCCTGGGGGCGCCCTCATGTCACGTTCCCCCCCTCGGCGTGGGGTCCCCGCAGCCCGGGCGGCTCTGACCGTGAGCGCCCTCACGGCCGCGGCGTTCGGGAGCGGGATTCGGTATCGATTCCGGGTGCGCCGTGCGTGAATCGAAGTTTAAAGCGAAGGGCTGTCCTCGTTTGGGGGTTGGACGTGCGAGGGATCGCTGCCGCGTTCCCTTTATGCTCGCGTTGTGTAATGCTGACCTTGGGAATTAAGGTATTTCTCTGTATTTTATTGACGCGTTGGAAATAAAGCGTTGCTCCCATACATCAGGCATGAGGCGAGACAAAAAAAAAAAAAAAACAGCGTGATAGAACGGCACGGTGTATTTCGTTCCATTATACAGAAAAACATGCTGTTTTACGGTTATTTTGTTTTACATTTACCTGCTCTCAGATCAGAGGAATGTGTGCTACAAAAGCTTCTGTGATCTGGAGCATCTGTGGCTCCAAATCACCAAGTGGATGAGTGGGATTAACAGGCACAGCCCTGGAATAGTGGGACCTTCTTCTATTGTAGCTCTAATTTTGCATACAAAGGAGATATTATGTAATAATATTTATGTAATTGCACGAGTAGCTATTTCATTATTAAAAAATGTAGAGCCCGAGGTTGTCTGGCAGGTATCAGGCTGTGTGTGCGTGTGTGTGGTTAATGCATTAAGGCTCATTTTCCTGAAAGAAAATATGTTTGGGCTATGCCGTATCATGAATGTGGCATCCTAAAGTAAACAGCAAGGCAGTTTAGGTGTCTGGCTGTTAGGAGTGCAGCAGGAAACCCTTAGCTTCCCAAACCAACTTTAATATTACTTTGCATAATAGAAGTGTTTCTAATTCATGTTGGTTAGAAAACGCGTTTTGCTCTGCTGTGCAGAGGAAGCGTGACTTGGCTATCATCTGCTTAGTTCCTTGCTGAACTTTTTAATGGCTTTTTTTTTTCTTTTCTGTATTTGTAACCTTTGTTAATAAGCTTCAAGAGCTTCTCACTGCATCTCAGCCTTATTTTTTCTTTTTTTTTTCTTTTTTTTTTCCCAAACATCATCCTGTCTGCAGAGGTGTTGAGGTAAGCATGTTGTTGTCAGAAGCAGCGTACCTGGTTTCAGAGAGAGGGTGACGCTTTGCTTGAGAGTCAAAAAAAGAAAATGTATAATCACTGACATCTATGTTAACACTTTCTTCGGGATAAAGAAACAGTAAAAACAACTTCTAATATACCCACGTAGGGTCTTGTTATGTGTGCTATTGTTTGGCTTACAGACAGCATGATTCTTGTCTTTGATTCAGTTGGTCTGGCTAGGAAAATCCCTTCTCATTGGGCTTAACTCATGCACCTTGCCTGCAGGACAGGTGTTCAGTTGCTGCCCTGCTGGTGTAGTAGTGAACCATTGCACCTGTGTAGGCTGCCACACCTCTGGCACAGTGAGCTCTGCATGAATCTTGGTGTGCTTAAAGCCATGTGGCTGTGCTGCCCAGCTAACTGGGAATCAAGGTCAAACCAGGCTCCAAATTCCACCTACTGAGTGCTTGGAGATGGATTGGTGCGTGCAAATGATTTGTGTAGATGTTCACAAAGTTAATGTCTGGCGGTACTGTACCCAGTGTCAGGCATGGACATTGGTTCTGAGAGCGCTCGCTCTTTCTACCTCTGCTGTGTTCTCAAAGGTGTATGAATGAGAAGATTCTCAATGTTCTTATCTTTGATGACTTTTTTTTCCTTTCTGTAATCCTGTGTTTAAGAATCACTTTGGAATGATTTGCCAGTATGATCTATGAAATTGAAGTGGTTTGTGGTAATGGTGGCTGGGGGAAGTAAAGAGAGACTTCTGTTTAAAACTAATGGAGGAATGAACTCTTGGAATGGACTGTTCTTGCTATAATGCTTGCCAATTTCTGTAGGTCTTCTGGAGATGGAATTGCATTCTATTCCAGAAGACCCGTGCACGTCATCTTTTGGTATCCTACATTTTTGCTTAGTAAGAGCTAAAAAGGCAAGAACTCAGAAAGCTCTTTAAGCAGAATCCATCTGCTATTCTGTTTTCTCACGATGTATGAAGAGTAAAATTCTGGCTACGAAAGCAAATAGTGAAGTAAAACACTGTGAGAAATGCTGTTTGGACTCAGCTGGGTTAAGCCACTTCACTCCATTTTAGCATGTGATTCTTGCAGCAGACTTTCATGTCTGTTAACATAATGAATTGGACGTAAGTAAAATTTCAGAAATGCTGCAACACTGCCATGATGTTAATACAATGAAGGCAGTATTAAATTCGTGCTTTGTTGTATAAGATCATAGATACTATTTGATGTAGTTGTTTTTGCGTTTCGAAAGGAGTCTCATGATCCAGCTATTTGTGTTTAAAACCAGTGGGCTTTAATTCACTAGCTAATGCTCAGGTATGAAACAAAATTTCAATTATCTTCTCAGGCAGCATTTCTGGTCTGCTGGCTGGCGGTTGTTGTAAGTGCTTTTTATATTTAAAAAAAAAAAAAGTTTGAGGAATCGCAAGGTCTATTTGTAACAATGGGAAGTATACTGAAAATTGGATTTTCTGTTTACGTACAGTCTTCTGTTTCATTGGTGATTCCTGATTTGTCATTCCTGTTACTAAAGTGTGGTATCGAGGCTGTGATTTATTCCTTGGCCTTCTCAAGGTCTTGGAGTTTTTCCTCAAGGTTTTACTGGCTGCCTTAATAGCAGCATGCGAGTGCTCAGCTGGGTGTTTCTGTCAGGTGTTGTTCAACTGCTGGAAGACAGAACCGAACTGTAAATCCATCCATAAAGGTATCAGGATAAGAGTACATGTCATGTTATGTAGGATGTTAATAAATGAGCTGCAGTTGCTAAATTAATGATTTTGCTTAACAACACTGTGTACGAGTAGCTGAGGATACTCTAAAACCACATTCAAGATACCTCTTGGTATGTGATAATGGGTATTGTAAAATGTGTAGTCAGAATACTTGAAGTCACAATTCTGATTTGGGGGTGATTTGAGGCTGATCTACAGGATAAATTTTTACAAAATAGGTGTACAGTTTGAAATTGCTTTAAAGGGTCGTAGGCTTTTAATTGATGAAAGAGTTAGGAGAAGTCAGGTTAGAAATTTACCTAGAGAAAGCAATGTGTGGTTTGAGGAATAATATGTCTGCCATCCTCAACTGCGGATATTTGTCTGTTTTTGAAGACTTCTGTATTTTATATCATGAAATTGCTGATCCACAAATGAATCTTTCTTCAGGGCAGCACAAAAAGTCACCCACATACAGCTTTTCAGGTGGGCGGCTGAGTTTGGTGGCTTTGCTTTTCCTTGTCTTTCTCAGAGGAAAAAAGCAGAGGCAAATGCTCCAGCTGAGATCTGGCTCCCTTCCAGAGGCAGTAGCTCTGGTATGACTCAGTGAAGGGGCCTGCTTATCTTCCTTTGTTTTTCCCTCCCCTTTCCCCCTTCTCTGACCTGGCAAAGCTGTATATCTGATCCCATCCCAGTGTCTTTCTCTCCTCCCTTGCTGCTCACTTGAGAAGGAATGAGCTCATCACAGGAACTTGCTGCTTTTTGTGCCCAGCTTGTGATTAACCTTTTTCCCTCCCTTCATTCTCACCACCATTCCAGACACTTTGTCCAGCAATAATCATTCCCCACAGCCTCCTCTGGTCATGATCCCAGTGTTTACAGCTAAGGATCATTCCAGATGCTGCTGCTTTCCATTTTCCAGAAGTGGGCATTTCTCGTGATGGAGACTTCCAGGCTCTTCGTTTGAGGGTACGAGGATGCAAAATAGGGCACAGCTGCTGTGGCCAAGACTTACCTCTTCATCATTGCCCTCAACATGTACAACTCTTGTTGGGGGTTGCTGTGGATTGCAGCACGGCCTGGAAGATTTTCAGCCTCCAATTTCTGCATCTCATGGTGGCAGGTTTCTCACACCGCTGAAGAGCCATTTGAAAAATAACTTCATACTGATTCATTTCACTTTTCTCCAGACGTTTATAGTTCCTGTAAGACGTGAACAGTGCTGGAGCAGAAACTGAGGAATTTGAGATTTGTTTATGCTGAGATTGCTTTGTCGGTGGTGTGATTGGAGGTCATTAGATAGTGACTTACCCGATTATTTTTTTTTAAAGGGTGTGAAGGATGTGTACTTTTGTTATGTTTTGGTTTGCGTTGTTTTGTTTTAAAGAACAGTCTACTTTTTGAGGCATTTGTTACCTACTTTGTATGGGTTGCCTGCTGAGTTGTTTGAGCAATGAGGGACTGCCTGAATAAACTGTGAGATTCTGCTGTGCTGGTATGAAACTCATTAAGTAGCAAATTAAGTACCTGTGTGTATGTGGCTTGTTTTGCTTGTTTCTTAAATAAACCTTAAAATACTGTGA